CGTGGTCTGGAGGAGGCTCTATAAATGTAAGGAGGTGGGCTGGGCAGAGAGGAACCGACTGCAGCTTAAAATACAAAGACTTCCTGCAAATGCGACTGGAGAGGGTGGACAAGAAAATCCAAGAGTGCTTTGAACGGGAATAGCTACACCCAAAATAAGCCGTCAGTGTTTCACTTTTACTGACTCAAAGCAGCAAGCCAAAAACCACTTAATCACTGGTTGTAATCAGGAATGTGGCTGTAAGAACCTCCGGTCCCAGTAGCAGAGCTGATAAAGGATTGTTTCCTGTACTGTCACCTGTCCCAATCACCTATTTCTGCCTCATATCACTGCCCACTGCGATTTGTCAGCTCAGCAAAGTTTTGTGGGTGGAATTGTGAGCCAGGTCACGGAGGTGATCCAGACTGAAGGCAATCAATACCAGGCCAAAGAATAAACATGAGGAAAATAGTTGGAGAGTAGCAGAAACTGGCTTTTCCATGAAAGCCAAATCACTCTGCAGTGACTCAGTTTCCCTGTGCAGAGATAAGCTTACAAGCTATCTGGCATCACCTTCCTGCACCACCCTGCCTTGCAGCATGGGATGCCAGGTCAGCCTGCAAGGCAGCGAAGCAACAGAGCACAGCTCCACAGGGACAGCAAATCCCTGTGCAAGGGGTGCACACAGCATCCACATAGATCCACTCCTCTGGAATCACAGCAGGAGGGGCCAGGCATGCTAGAAAGCCACGAGTGGCAAGGAATACTGGGATCATCCCAATGTCACCACACTGGAGCCCATTCAGCCCTGGTGGCACCAGCTGTGATCCACGTCTTGGCAGCACTATGGCTCTCCTGGGATGACAGCCACTGCTTGGTGACCCTTGGGGGTGGGAGACCCAAACAGCTCTGGAGTGGGGCAGGGGGAAGGGAGCTGCACCCAGCGGGGCAACACATGGGATGAATGGAGGAACAGCACAAACTGAGAGCGCAGTGCCTGCTCCTTCTGCATCCTCCAGCAAACAAGGCTCACTGGAAACATCAGGAAAGGAAGATGAGAAGATGGAGGTGGGGAGGTGGGAAATTATCACCCACCAGCCCCGCTCAGTGCCTACCCTTGCAAGCCACCCTGCCTGCCTGCTGCTGCTGGTAACGGAGCATCTGCATCCTTCTGCCAGCTGCGTCCTGCCCCCGTGCAGGGACCAGGGATGAGTCTGGGTCAGCATCACTCTGCTGGGGCTCCTGCGGGGCTGCAGACCCTGGGAGAACACAGCACAGCTCTGAGCAGCCACATCCTGCAGCAGCACGAGGTGACGTCAGCCCGGCCAGGCGCTGGCAGGCAGGACACGCCATGCATGCAGCCTGGGCTGCTCCAGACACCGCCTGGCTCCCGCAGACACCAGGGCCTGCTACAGCTTATCTACAAATTGAATTTCACACTGTGTGCCCTCGAATCAGGCACAGGTGCTGCAGGATCCACCCTGCCCCTCCGCATCTGTCCTCCTCCTCCAAAGATGACTCTGGGGGCAAAGCTGGGGGCAAAACCCCACTGCAGCTGGAATGATGGAGCAGAAGACACAAAGAACACGAGGGATGGGGGGCTGGCCAGCAGCGAGGCAGCTCTGAAAATCCCTCACACTCGTGAGGACTCGAGGCTGGGCAAGCCAGCAGCAAGGAAAGAAGGCTGTTTAAATTTAATCCAAAATGTATGTTATATTTTTCCCTTGTAGCTTTCTCCTCCCCTGTTTTCTATCTTCAAGCATGAAAAGCGGAAAGCCTAAAACCTCTGGCAAAAATCCTTTAATGTGTTTTACTGTAAAGGCTGCCTAGTGTTAAGAAATAAGCTGAACCGGAGCAAATCAGGCAGCCTGTGGATGCCCTGGGAGCTGAGGATGGAGCAGGACACATGGTGGGCCACAGGGGCAGCAGGGATGGAGAAGGGGAGGGCACGGATCCTGCCCTGGGAGCAGGCAGTGCAGGGCTAGCATAGAGAAGATGGGGAGAGGTGAAAATGGGATCTTGAGTGTCCGTTGTGTACAATGAGCTCTGGGGCAGCAGTGGGGTGAGAATGCAGCTTGAATGAGATAGAGCACCCTGTGCTCTGTGGGACACCCTGTGCCAGGGGAATAGCTCGAAGTGGGGTAGGATAAGGGCTGCCCTGATCTCCATGCTCCCTGCTGGCTCCCCATCATGGGGATAACGGATCAAAACAAGGGCCCACCTTGCCCTGTGTGCTTTCTTGCTGTTCGTCTGAAGCATGGACAATTTGCAGCTCAGCGGCTGGCCAAGTGCATCTCTGTGTATTTATCAGTCCTCGGGGAACCTCTTGTCCTTCTTGAACTTGTCCCACTTCTACTAGAGCCAACAAAAGGTTTCACTGTTCACAACACCTTGTTCTGAGGACTCCTGTGCCCCGGCAGCACGCTGGTGAGAGGCAATACCCCTCCTCCTGGTTTGCACCTCCCGCCAGCAGCATTTGATGTGACCTTGTACTCACATGGAAAGAAACAGGGAGCAGTTAACCTCCATCCCCGCTCTGCTGGCCTCCTGTGATTCCTGTACATGTATCATATCCATCTTTTGTTGTTTCTTTTTCAGCCTGAAGAACCCTGCCTTGCTCAGATGCTGTCAGCCCTCAGATGTCTCTTGCTGCAGCTGCACCACGATCTTGGCATCTGAACACCCCAATGAGCCCCCCAAGCCTTTGGATACAGAGACCTGAAGCAAACCGTGCTTCTGTCAGATCCCTTATCAGCCCCATGAGCCCCAATGCTGCCGCTCGTGGGCACTGCCTAAGGGCCCAGGACAGGGTGAAGACAGACAGACAGACAGACACAAACAGAGCAGCTCCCAGCACTGGGTCCCGGCCAGCCCCGTGGTGACCGACCCACAGGTTGCACTGCAGGCTCCAGAATGCTTCTCCTGCTCTCTGCAAAGTGTTACCTTGGGCAAAGCCCCTGCAGTGCTCTGCAAAGGAAGAACCCTGACACTGAAGGACACCCTCAGGAGCCCCTCCCCACGAGCCCTGAGACCTCCCCATTGCCCAGCTGCCCCACACTTTGCTGCTCCACACTTTGCTGCTCCACACTTTGCTGCCCCACGTGCCAGGCACCTTATGGGCTGTGCTCACAATGAGACACGGTTTGGAGGCAGCAGATGTTTCTGTGCTGCTCCGCATTTTGCAGTGTCAGGAGCAAGGCTTCCTTACCAGCACTCCCAGAGCTCCTCATCAAGCAGCCCCAGCCCAAACACGGCTCCCTGGCACAAAGCTTTGCTCTCACACATCCCCCCATGCCCGCTCCCTGCAGCGCAGCCAACACAGCAAACACAACACAGAGCAAGGGCAGAGCTCCCACGTGCTGCAGGGCGAAGCACCGTGCACTGCACCACCACCTCTCTGCTGAGCCCAGACAGTGCCTAAACCAGCAGCACAGCCTTGCTCACCAGGGAACGCTTCCAGGCGGATCCTGGCAGCTGCAGCCACGAGCTTTGCTGCCTTCCGTGGCTCCTGCTCCATCCCAGCTTCCCTGTGGGGGCTGAGCGATTTGGGTTCAAACCACCATTGCACTGGAAGACCTCAGAGCAGAGCCTGGCTACTCATGCCCTGTGCTCTCAGGCACCCATTGCTGCGCCCTGCATGACACGCTCAGACCTCCTGTGCCTTGCTGTGAATTCCTCAGTTTCCTCCACGGCCACGGAGCAAGCTGTGCTCCACGTGCCCACCCACTCCGGTACCCAGCAGCATCCTTCCCTGTTCCCACTGGGACACAACACCAACAGGGACCGGGCAGCCCCCGTTCCTGTGCCCTCTCTCAAGGACTCACCCCGGTGGGAACTCCCCTGGACCGCATCCCTGCCCATATCACACGGAGGGTCTGGAAAGAGGCAGACCCAGCTGCAAGGTGCGGGGTGCTCAACCTCCCCTCCAGCAGCGCTGCCCCACACGCGTGGTTCGTGGGAAAGAAGGGCTGTGTGCAGGCGGACGGTGCTGGAATGGCACAGCGCTGCATCGGCTGTGCCTGATGCTCCATCCGTTTCCCCCCGGCTCTGCCCCGTGCTGGGGAGGCGCGGAGCGGCGCGCCCGCAGGTGTCCAACCCAACTCCGCATGGAACCATGTACAGGTAACCATGACAACCGCACATGCGAGCGGCAAAGCCAAGATCTGGGCTAACTGCAAATGCAAATGAAGCAAAGACATGCACAGTGCTAAAAGCGTGACCTCTAAATGTCAGCGCTTCACCGTCGGGCAGACGTCGGCTCCGGTGGCTGCGGATCCGCTATCCGAGGGAGCGCCCCGAGGCTGGGATGCTCGGGGGCCGAGGGCGGCACGGCGCTCCCCGGGGGCTCCCGCGCACCCCTGCGCCGTGCGGGGCGCTTCTGCCTTCAAAGGACGGGAGGAGAATCGCAGCGGCGAGGGGGCTTTGCTGGGACGGCCGCGCCACAGCGGTACCGCACGGCCCGGTGCCCGCACAGCTCTCCTTCCGCCGCCGGCAGCGCCGAGCGCGGAGGGACCCCGCGCAGCTCCGCTCCCGCACACACGCGGCGGCCGCACCGCCCCGCACCGCCCCGCACCGCCCCGCACCACGCGCTCAGGGACGGACGGGCGCGGTTTGGGGTCCCCCCAGCGCGGCGCGGCGCTGCGGGCGGTGCGGGGCCGGGATGGAGACGAGCCCCGCCGAACCGCACCGCACCGCACCGCAGCGGGTGGGTCGGGCCGGGGGGGGGCCGCGCAGCTGGGCGGTCGCACAATCCCCCTTTCAGCCCGTCGCCATGGCAACCCGCCGGCTCGCCGCGGCCGCTCATCCGGCCCCGTTAACCCCCGCCGTTACCGCCGCCGTTATCGCCGCTCCGCCCGCCCGCCCCCGCCGCGCCGCCCCGCACCGCGCACAGCGGCACCGGGAGCCGCCGCCCCCGCCCTCCCCCGCGGGATCCCCATCGCCGCCCCCCGCGGGTTCCCCCCTCCGCCCCTCTCTCCCCCCTCCCCGGTGCGGACCCCGCGGGGCCGTCGGGGCGCACTCACCGTCGGGGGCGGCGGCGCGGTTGGGCCATCCCGGGGGCGGCGGCGGCTGCTCCGCGCCCCGCGCTGCGCTCAGCCCGGCCCGACCCCGCACCGGGAGCGCGCGGCGCGAGCACGGCGGGGGCGGGCGGGGGAGGGGCCGCCGTCGCTGCACCCCTTCGCTGCCGCCGGTGGTACCGAGCGGCCCCGGTAGCCGCACCGTCCCCGAGCGCAGCGGACGTCGGGACCGAGCCCGGCGGCACCGGCAACCCCGATACGGCCCCACCGGCACCGCCGCACCGCACGTCCTTCAGCATCCCTGGGCGGCCCCGCAGCGCCTCAGTGCCCCCCCAGTGCCCTCCGCACCCACCCCGGCCGCAGCCCCGCGCTGCCCGCACAGCCCTCACCCAGCGGGGCTCCCCCTGGGCGTGATGTCCCGTAGCCACGGGAGCAGCCCCCGCCCCTCCCACCACCCGGGGGGGGTCAGTCAGCTCCGTTTTGGAATCCCCACTTTCAGCCTCAGCTTTGGGGCTGGACACGGCCCCCCCTCCCACCCTCCCGTGAGCTCCGGGCTCAGCAGACACAGCCGGCTATGCACCGTGACACAGTCCCCCCAGCTGCCCCCGTTTCCCTGCTGTTCCCCCGCAGCACAGGGCTGCTCCGTGCCACGCACAGCCTCCAGCAGCAGCCACCTTTCCCACAGCCCACGGCGGGGCACCTTGCTGCTTCATTCTGCCTGATGGGATTACAGCAATCATTGGAAGCAGGGCACGGATTTGGGTCTCGCTGGATGAGTCTGCCTTCTCCGCAGCTCTCTGCCATCGCCAGGGCAGCGTCAGCCGCGGTTTCTGCTCACAGGGAAGGAAGGACACGCCATTGCCAGCAGACACCTCTGCGTGTTTGGGGCTGCCGGAGCTGCAGCCCAGACCTGGCACGGGCTCTGCAGAGCCGGCTGCCGTGCCCCATTCTGGATGCTTGTGCTCAGGGCAGGCCTTTATGGCAGCTCTCCTACATGTCACTGCCACGTGCACAGTGCAGGCAGGAGCAAGTGAGGGGGTCCTGTGCCCCAACACTGCTTACGGATGGACTGCAGCTCAACTGTTCTGTTGTCATTTCACTGCACGCAGAGCTGCCCTCTGTCACCCTATGCTTCAGCCCAGTGCCCAACGGGATGGTGGTACCCACACTCCTGTGTGCGCCAACAGCCCCAGCAGTAGCTTCAAGGCTGCTCCCTGCATCTCAGTGCCCAGCAAATCCAACTCATGGGGCTGCACCCCACCACCACCAGCATTGCACTGCACAGGGAGTGCACGGGAGCTGCTCAGCTCCAGTGGACAGCCATCGATTTTCTTGCACAGCACCACTTCTCACAGTGCTGACAAGCTGCACGGCCCATGGGGACCGCAGCATGGGGGGGAGGGGGATGCATGGGGCAGGACCTGTTGCAGTCCACCTGCTGCCATTTAATGCACAGTCGCTGCAGCCCCGGGACCTGAGCACAGCTGTGCAGCATCACCCACCCACACACAGCCCTGAGCCCACCGAGCCTCCTGCAGGCCCAGCATCACCCCCACACCGACAGTGTGCGATAACCTCCCCGCCCCCCAACCCCTCCGGCTGTGTCTTAAGCGGCATTTAGCCACGACTCCAGGAAGGAGCAGAAGGGGCTGGAAGCTGTCAGAGCTGCTTACAACCACCTCTGCTCAACGTTAGCGTGCAGCACAGCCAGGGGGGCTGCAGGGCACGCAGCGAGCTGGGCACAGCCCCGCGCCCTGACCCTGCAGCCTCGAGGCAGGCAGGGAATGGCCGCAGCTCGGGGCCACCCAGGGTTCTGCCAGCACCGCCGCGTTCGGGCTGCCGCAGAGCCGCCCTGCTCCCAGCGCCGGCATGCAGCGATGCAGGAGGCAGCAGCCAAGACGCCGCTTGGCGCAGGCTCAGCCGCCTCCCAGGGCCGGCAGAGGAGGGGGCCGCGGGCGGCAAGGAAACGACGAGAGGGGGGCTCAGCCTGCCCACGGGAAGCGCCCAGCTCGCCCACGCTGCTGCTCTCACGGCCCCGGCAAGGATGGAGCGTGGGGAACGATCCCTCCTGCCACAGCCCTCGCGTTTCCTCGGTGGCACCGCGGTTACGCTGTGGGCGAGCAGAGCCCCAGCAGGGAGCTGAGTGAGCACCCCCAGACTGATCCTCATTGAAGGGGACAAGCGGCGACACACGGAGGAAGTCACCCTGCACACAACCGTCCGTTCTCATTAACGAGGGAGTCTGTCTCCATCAATCCCACAGCCAGCAGCACCTTCCATCCCTATGCAGAGGTGCAAGGGGGTAAAGGGGGGGTGCGTGCCATGGAGCTGGCCTGGCAGCCCGTGCTCCCAGCAAGGAGCACCTCCAGCAGCGGGCACAGCGCAGGAGCTCAGCCTGGGGAGGCTCTGCCCCGTAGTCTCTCCCTGGGGCGTTCACTGAGCACAACTGAAGGCTCAGCCCCACCTTCCCTTCCTTCCAGCTCACGCAGCCTGGCACCTGCTCATCTTCACCCTGCTGTGGCAAATAAACCTCACCCGCTTATTTTTCCTTACAGCTGAGGTTCAATGGAGCTCTTTCACATGCCATTGCAAGACTCACCAGATTCCACCCACCCAGAGCAGAAGAAAAATAATGGCCAAGAAAACCTATCAGAGGAACTGCAGTTTCGCTGCAGAAGAACCAAGGAGAGGAGGGTGCTGGTGGGGGTGGTTTTCAGGTTCAGAAGACAGCAGTAGGGCAGGGCACTAGAGCTCTAACTAAGCAAAGCCCAAGCAGCTTGCCACACACTGACAGATGAGACTCCACACCAGCAGGCTGCATTAGCTGGGTCAGAAGTCGAGAATCCAGCACTTCAGCCATCCAGAAAAAGGAGCTAACACTGGAGCCCTGGGGCTTATAAGTGAAACTGTGCTGAGAGATGTTCTGAGCTGCAGCTCCTCTCAGTCTTGCACAACGCCAGCTCTGGTTACTGCTATGCCTGGGAAGCTGGGCTTGGTAGCACTCAGCAGCACTCTGGTTTACCTCCCTCTTTGCTCTTAAACCTCTGTCCAGTGGCACATGCCATAGATTGCAAGTAAAGCTTTCCATCAGCATATGAACCCTGTGGAGTTTGCACAAACACTAGCAAGCATGGGAACTTCAGCTTATGAAACAAATAGGGAAGAAAGGCTTGCTTTCAAAGCCCAAATTGCTCTGCTTCAGCAACACACCCATTCACAAAAGCAGAAAATGCAGACATCAGTTCTACTGAGGAGGAGATAAAAAACCATGTGCAGAGATGGTGCTGGGATGCGCTGGGAAGCTGGGAGGAAAAGCAGGCTCTGAATACACACTCCTTTTGCAAAGTAAGCTCTCTGTATTCATCCGAGAATGTCTGTAGTACAGGGTTCATCTGGTATAAATAAAGTACAAAATTTTACAATGTCTTAATCATTATTTTAACAAAAATACTAAAAACTGAGTAAAAACTGAAACCAAAGTGGGAAGGGAGACTATCAGCCACAAGGGATCTCCAGAAACGTTTGTAGAAATTGGATAGTAAAAACATTTCCTCTGTACAATAAAACCATCCTCCTGGCATCTCCCTGCGAGATGGGCAGCACAGCACAGGGCACAGCATGAGAGCAGGGCTGGCAGAGGCCCCAGATCCCAGGTCTGGCTGAAGAGCTGCATCCAGCCCACGGTGATGTCTGCATCCTGGTCCAGGCTGAAGCACTGCAGGTCAGTAGCGCCCAAAGGGGTTGTTGTTCTGCTGTGGTTGTGTATCTGTGGAGAGCAAGAGTTACACAGTCACAAGGTTTTGTTCCAGCAAGAGGATTTCCCTCCCCACGCCAGCAGTGTGGCTCTGAGGCTGTGTCACAAACACAGGACATCCCTGTGCTGCTCGTGTGCCTGAGGCTTTAGCTCTGAGCGCAGTCAGGACCCCATTTTCTTTGAGGAAGAGAGACCTGCAGAGCACCTGCAGCCAAACAAACTGTACAGACAGCTTGTGTTGCCTGGGATACACCAAGAAAACAGACGAGGTGAAGGTTTTACATTCTGACCCCATAACAGTGTCCAGGTGCAAATGAAAGACGTGCCCACAGGACTAACAGGTGGCACAAAAGGGGCAGGAAACACAGCAAGGTTATCCTAAGAACCTCATCAACTTCCAAAGCTGATGTGAGCAGTGTGTATCACAAAACAGAGTAGCTGAGTGTTGTGTGATTAATAAAATCCTGTGAAGTTTTTTTTCAATCCCAATCAGCATGTCTGACACTGCAGACTGAGTAAAGATCAGTGCAACCAGACCAACTCACTCTCCTCCCAACCCTGCTGGACAAAAGCAAAGACAGGATCACAGACAGAGCCTTCTAACCCAGCAAACTCTGAGCCCTGTGCTCTTGTTGCTCTCTTACGAGATGTTCTTGGTGATGTCCTGCTTTCCACTACACCCCAGACACTACAAATAAGAGCTCCAGATGGCTCTTGGTGGAATCAATGCAAACCCACTGAGGTAGCATGGAAGCTGCATGCTGACACATGGCTGCATTGGACCCACGCATCTGTTCCATATAAAACCCTGCTCTGCTCTCTATGCAGACAGGATGCAGAAATATGGGCTATTCCGTTACATTCAGATGCTTAAATGAGATCTTCTTAGACTTGAGTGTCCTGGCTGGGATCCTTGCACAGACTCGTGGTTTGTGAATCAGGCTAGTAGCAGACTTAGCACATTAAAACTTCTGTTTTCTCTTTTTTGTCACAAGGACTGAGAACTTTCTGTCAGGGAGTTAAGTGTAAGTACCAACACTTGGCCATTATCTGTTGCAGACATTTGTCATGTGTGAACCCTATGGGAAAGAAACACTTCCTCCCCGATTGTAACAACCACTTCTCAAACACAAGCCTGCTCTGAGACATAACCAATTTAAGCAACTGAATTAACCACGCAGATAGATCAAAATCTGCCAAATGTATTTCCAGTTGACATTGAGCTATAAGCATTCACAGCCTTGGCTGCCATAGAAATGGTGGCCCAGCATGAAAAAAGGAGTGCTGTCAGCTCCAAGCCCTTTCCCAGCCCCCACCACATGGTTCCAGCTCACACAGT